TATCATTCATTTGATATAGGACTTCATAATAAATTGCATGTTGCAATTGCCACTTTTTCTCATCTATAAAAGACGGCGTAGTCCAATTTTCAATTCAACGTTTCTTCTTTCAGTTTCCATCGCCAACTTTTCCATGTGGACGCTATATTGGAATTTTGTACATTTGAATGGACTTTTCAGTCTTAAGTTCAGTAATGTGTTTCCTTAGTTGGCCATGAATTTGTTGTTGGAAAGAAAATTATTAGGAAATAAAAAGGTAATATAAAGGTAATAATAAATAAAAATAATAATCATAAATTGTGAGTTATTTTGTAGGCAAAGCCTGGCTCTTTTCTGTACATTGTTCACTGCTCACTTCATTTCCCTTTTTCTCAGTATTCAAAACTCTGTTACTATGTACAATTTGAGGTCTGGTCTGGTATACGAGACAAATGACTATCTGATAATTTAGGGGCCTACCTAGGCAATTCTGTTTTTCTGAAATAACCAAGAAATAACTAAGGTCTGACAATGTCAATGTGTGACATATACATTCGTGGAATCATTTTTCTATTCATCTGAGAAAAAATTAAATATGACGTAGGTAAGAAAAATAAAAGTTGATGCTGGAGAACAAGAGACAAAACGTCATCTTGAAATTATAATTATACCATCTTGTAGAGCAGAAATAGTGCCAATGTCAATGTGCATATTTTGTTTGAAATCCCACTACAAAGTCAGGAAAAAATTAAAACTATTTTGGGAAAAATTCTCCTACAGAAGTACCGTTGAACTTTCTAAGCGGCATTTTATGACGGAACTGTACCGTTTCCGAGACTTCAATGGTGAGGATCAAATTTGAAACACCCGGTAGACATGTAATAACAATCATAACTGTAATATCATGATATTTGAGAATATCTGCTTCTACTTATTTTATGAATGTTTCAACTTGTCAACTATGAGGCTGCCGATATTTGTGAACACTGGTACAGTAATTATTGTTGTTTATGTCATAACTTATATACTAAGCTTTTTATGTCTAATCATCCATATAATTTCATAAGGAGTGTCATCGTTATAAATTGGCAGTGCAAGATATTTAACCCAAATGCGCAACATAAATAAATGGCTGCTGCGCCTTTTTTAAACGAAGTGATATTAAGCCGGCCACCAAATGTTGAAGAGGCGAGTGGGTCATCAATACAATTCTAATAAAAATGAGACTGCGAACTAAGGACTATGGCAAACGAAGTATATGGAAACGACTATGGGGGAGTATTGCAAAGTATTCTACTGCCGTATTTACGAGTAGGGAACAGGCAGTAACGTTCATTTACTACGTTTTTGAAATTTTGACGCCAATACTATCATAATAATACTCTTATGATTGATCACGTTATTTAACAAAAATATTTCTTTTTTTCACTTTTGTCAAATATTTCGTATTCAATACATTTCCTAAGCATAAAAGCAGTAAATCAATTTATCAAACTAAAAAGCACTAGTTTTCAAACTGTACCGATTTTAACCTCACAATGATACTGCCGTTTTACCCTTTTTATAACCTATTATGATAGTGACTTTAGCTCCGGAAAAATGGTTTTGAAAAATATTTTTCGTTTAACTTAATGCTGTTTTTGGTTTATTTATATAATTGTTTTTGTTAAATTATATAATGATTGATGAATTGAATTATTAGATGTTGAAAAGGTTTCTTTTGTGCTATTTATGTGAAATTTTTCAATATGAATGAATGATAGAATAAAATAAAATTCTGCATTACTGCGTTTTTTCTTTGAAAGAATAATGTAACTAGATTATGAAAACTACAAAAAAACAGTATTTTTTTTGCGGAGTATCAAAGCAGTAAATCAAATGTTACTGCTTTTTGATTTACGACAATTCAAGACAGAATGTCATTTATTTTAGACCTCCACAACATTTATCTAATTCAAATAACTCTCTATAATCTCATGTAACTTTACAATACCATTCACTTTTATTGTGTTGTGAATAATATTATTTATTTAGTTCGATATATTCAGAATTTTTTACTCAATTTTCTCTGACTTTGATTTTTACTCTTTACTGCCTTTTACCTAGGTATGGCAGTCTAGGCGTTTAACTCGTATGACTGCATTTGAGACACTGCGCGAATCTTTGTAATAATTACATAACTCAGATTTTTTTGTGTTTTTTCTTTTGAGACGATTTGATGCAGGCGCTGATTTATTAGTTATTTTTGGTTATCATGGACGATTTTAACGATTTGTGTATTTTATAGAGAGCGATTATATTAGACGTTTGTTTTGTACCTTGCACCTTTTTGACAGTGCGGATTTTTCTCAACCTGGTACAGAATTAGCTTTTGATATTCGTAATGGTAGTCAAACTTATGCACTGAGAACACGAAGAATGCTTATTCTTCAATTTCCAAAATTCAAGTGATCCCCGAGAAGTGCAGTTTCCCCTAATTACTAAAAATATATACTGTCAACTTTAAAATTTTTCAAGGATGTATGGTCAATCCAGTAGGCAGTCGTTCGCAGTTTTTGAGCATTAGAACTAATGCGCAACTTCTGTAATATTTTTCTGTAGAGTAATTGAAGTCATTCCTACCAGACTATTTTGCTTTGCCTTTGGATTGCATACATGCCAAGAGAGCCAATTTAAACAATACACGGTGTTCCGTACTTAAATGGGCATAGTAAGTAAAATGGTAAGCTGTATAGACCGAGACCACTTGATATCTGATAAACAGTGCGATTTGTCAAGGGTCATAGTCAAGGTCACGTTCAAGGTCAGCATTAGATGAGCTTTTCAAGCTTTGCAACTTTACTACAGATGTTTCTTTATCAAATGTATTTCGCAAGACAAATATCTTGCCAAAGTTGGCCTGTGCTTACTTTTTGGACACCCTCAAATACCCACAAAGATTAGGGTTAAGGTCATGGGCAAAGGCATACAAAGTAAATTTTACCACTTTCTTCATTTCCGGTGTGAAAAATAGAGGTATCATTTAATAAAACTGCCTTGAACATCAAATGGCCTTGAAGGTCATAGTCAAGGTCACGTTCAAAATAATAATAATAAACAGTCTTTTATTTTCAAAGAAAATTCAGTATAATAAAAGAAATATATAGTACCAGTGGAGAAGTATAGCTGACAGCTACTCTACTCAACCACTGGAGGGGAGCACCCAAGTAAGCGAATACTTGAAACTGTTGTTAAATAATATGTAATTACATATGTCAAAATAAATGAGGTAGACAGAAAAGTACACATATGATGAATAGAGCAACTCAGGCATTCACAGTGAAACATACATGTACAGATTATGCTTTTAACTTTTAAAAACTATACAGAGCATACAAGGAAAGGAACAACACATTCATGCTAAACAGATCTAGCCACACTTTTGATATCAATGTTGATATTATATGTATAAAAGAGTTGGGTGAATCTTTTCAATACTTACAACTTTGTTTTACATTATTTTTCTCTACGAAGCGTATTTTTAGAAATACTGTGATCTATTCATTACTTTTTGAATATCATGTAAATTTTAGGGGGTAACCTATATCCTCACTCGGGTTTCAATCAAACAGACATTCACATTTAGGTATATAGATCGCTACATTGTACGAGATACTTTTTTAATAAGTAGAAGAGTATATAAGGTTTATTATTCTTTTTCATCCTGCCGAAAAAATGTATTTGTTTTTTTATGTAAAATGGATTATTAAGTTGCTAAATGTATGCTACTGCCCAGATGTGGGAATGCAAAACATAGTTTAGTTATGACTAGCAATGGATGGATATATTATACAATAACACAGAAAGCAGATGAACAATATAGAATCAGAACAGTAGTCTTTCGAAAACTTTACTGTTCAGAAACGCATTCATAACTACCTAAGTATCAGAATTCTTAAGACTCTGAACTTTCAGTTTTAGGATTTTTTTTTAAATCTGAAATTTTCAAAATTTTTGACATCTTCAAGGTTTTCTAACCTTTCAAATTTCCGTGATTCACAAAACGTTCAAAATAAAAGTTAGGTCTTATCTCAGTACGTGAAATACGTATTACTCTTCGAATTTTGGTAAATAATGACTAACAGTTTCATATTCTTAGAGTAACCATTTTCAGATTACCAAACTCTTCAAAATTTTGTAAAGTCTCACATTTTTTTTTTCAAAAACGCAAAATGTTAGAAATTGCTAGTTTTCAAAATGTTCAATATTTAAAGTTTTCAAAATTTCCATTTAAATAAAATCAAAATACTCGAAGGTTTTTAGAAATACCAAAACTTTGGATACTTTCAGAATTTTTAAAATGACCGATGTTTCCAAAATTCGGAGCGGCTAACTGTGACACCCCTAATGGTAATGTGGTATGGTTCGAATGCTATGGCCGGATTTAAGAGTTTGCATCCATGCCATTGCAAACAATCAATTTGGCAATCGGATTCTCAAGGACTGACAGACTGGCCTGGTTCAATGATGCTACCAAGTTCCACTATACTCGTATAATCTACGTTAGTTAAAATCTGTTCTGGTAAGCGATTCATATATGATGATTATATTTATCTCCTAAACATAAAATGTATCGGACATTTTTAGGTATATCTACTTCAGTTTTATTTATAATCATTTTGGATATACCTTCATTAAATCTTCAGAGTCAGTGACATAGCCTTTGTATTTCTTCTAATTCAGCGTAAACAAAAAAGGAAGTTCATCGTGATGTTAGAGAAATACAAAGGCTAAGTCACTGACTCCGAAGATTTTAATGCAGGTAAATCCAAATTGGATCATAAATAAAACTGAAGTAGATATACCTAAAAATGTTCAATATATTTTAAGTTTAGGAGATAAATATAATTTACCATATATTATGCATCACATACCAATAGATGCTATTAAGTATGATGTTTGTAGTGGTTAAAATTTGCATGAAAATGAATGACAGTTGCACGTGTTACGAGTCAAATGAGCAAGCAAGTGGTACCACCCACCTGAACGGCTGACTGGTCTGCCTAGCATGGTACGGTATCCCTTGTTCGTCCTCCCCGCTCGCTGCTGCGTGATTCTGCGAGCCGTACCGCGCTTGGTGCTGCCTGCTAGCCGTCGTCTGCACGTCGGGGATCGACTGGACGGTCAGCAGCATATCTGAGAGCAGTTCGTCCAGCTCGCGGTGCTGTTCTTCGGTGGTGGTACCCGAGGCGGCTGAGGGGGACGGGTGAGAGGAACCTGCTGAGGATGAGGCTGGAGGCGGGGATGAGGATGATAGGGTGGCTGTGGTTGCGGTTGTGCCTAAGGCGCCGCCGGAGCCTGGTTTGGCCTGGTGGTGGCCTGGAATCAAAAAAGAGACAATACCGTAATTATGCTCACAGAACCCCAAATAAATAAAAATGAACGTTCCTCAGGTTTCTATCCTAATATTAACCCGTGCCCTCAAGCGAAACAAATTTTGGATGTGAATAATATAGGGCTACAGATAATGCACGGATACAACCATACAAAAAATAAAAAACCATTTCTCGACCTGTATACAGGGTGTTCCTAAATAAAATGGTAATCTCGCGGATGGACATAGAAAGAACACAGAACAGCAATGCAACAAGTATCCATGAACATGTGGTGCGGGGGTCTCCAATGGAGATACACGGTAAACGTTCACCTACTGGAATGTAAGAGAAGGGAAGCGAAACTCTTACGCTGGAGCGACCCGAATACAAGTGACGTATCACGTTTGACACGTGCAAATGACAAATGTCGTCGTGGTTCCCTTCGCATGCAAAATTATACTACTGAAAATTTGTCTTTCTTCAATAACTTCGGAACGATAATAATTCCCATTTTAAGTTAAGAAACACTTCATAAATCAGTTGGTTTAGCTAAAATAACATATTTTTTCATTTGCGACACAAAATTGGCTCCCAATGGCACAAAATACACCAATGAGAAAGAAGCATTTGTCTCAAACTCGAAGCACAGACCAAACTGATACAATATCTAGATTTTGACATAACAGCAACTAAATGAACATTTTATTAAAAATAACAGTGTCACTATTTACCAGAGAGAGAGATAACATTGAGAAATAGGATATATTTTTACAAATGCCTCAATATGTCCATTGAGGTTAGCTATTTCCCTATATACGTTTGTAACAGGTCAGACAAAATTATGGTTTTGAAGACAAATTAAATTTTCAGAACGCTTTTTTTTAATAAATATCGAGTACAAATTAAATTTACTTGACTACCGAGCGAGAAACCGTTGTTCTTTCAAACTACTTATATGCTCAACACGTGTTTAGACCTAATCTTCCTGGCTTAGCACAATAATACCAATACCGCCATCTACCATCACCCTGGCAAGGTAGTCGCACGGTAGTAAGTAAATTGAATATTTCCTCGTTGTTTGTTTCTGTAATTTTATTTATGTCTTCCAAGAGTTTATTAAGCAGAATTTTGGACAGCAAGGACAAATATCAATGATCTAGTTTGACTGACCTGTTATAAACCTATAAAAATAAAAAATAGGCTTTTGTAGCTAACCTCAATGGACATGTTGACACATTTGCAAAAATATATTCGTTTTTCTCTCGCGGGTACATACGTATGGCCGCTCGTATCTATTTGTCATTGGTTTTAATATAGGCGGTGAGCAGCGACCATGACTGAGCCAGATACGATCGGTATTAGGAGATTTCCCCCCAATTTCCGGGGAGTTTTACTCCTTGATGGGAATTTTTGTGGCGCGTAATTTTCTGAGGAACGTATTTGAGGAAAAATAAAACCTTTGTTTTTTTTTAAGGGATATTTTATTTGATGTTTAACCACGTCACTGGTAAACAACAATTTCAATTCTTTTAGCTCATATACCCTGTTCTTATGAAATTTACGCCACGACAAAATAAAGACGGGCTCTCGATCGCGCTTGTATTGATCAGTATACCGGGTGAGAGATAATAGTAAGACAATATAATATCTACCTAGCAACCCGGTACGACAATATTCACAACATGAATGCTAGAATTTATTCATCTTGCAGCTCGCAGCCGATATCCGACATTGTGATAAGTATAAATGGATCGTCACCTGTAACCTGTTGCCTCCCACCCGCCACCCATCGCCTGAGCATAACTGCGGCCTAAGATCCGCACACACATAGACACCTTGGATCCACCGAATTACCAGTGGTGTACGATGAGTTATGCTATCATCTTTCGTTGATGTTTAGTTCGATATCATAGAATCCAAATACGCAGAACGTGCTCAATTTATCTCTGTGGTCTAGACATACCTGCAGATGAAATGCCGCTATCCATGGATACTGTCAACGAGCTGGATACAGCTCCAGGGGATAGCTCCGGCTTCTTGGCGATGGTTGCATACAGACTGCCATCCAAAGGCCCGTACGTGTGGTTACACTCCTCTGAAAAAAAAATATTATTACAATATGAAAACAGATAGGAAGGAAACGGAAATTTTCGCGTTTAGTTACAGAATATAACCTGATTAACATTATCGATTTTGTATTCATCATCATTCATTTAAATTGACTGATCTTCTATTTTCGGCTTTGGATACAATTTGACTTGATCGATACCTTTCGAAAGGTCGACAGTTCGATACATGTAAAGTTGACTGAGTTACAAGCCTAACTGTGCACAAATGCTAACCGCGTTTTATTGTAGATTGATCAAATTACTGAAAGTGAGCTTGCCGTCGGAAATACGACACAAAAATAAGAAACCGTATAGGAACACGATTTATTTTACAAAATATGGATATAAGGCGTTACTTATTTTGTATAACTATTTGAAGAAAGCATAGAATTTCCTTTTCTTCTCGGTTGCAATGTAATAGGTTAAGGATGCACTTTCCTCTTTTCTACTTTTTAGAAGGTATCATCCATTAATTATTCCTGAGCCAGCTCAGTTTTCTACATGTCTCTGTGATAAGCGGTAAAACCTTTTACTTCCCACGCCACTGGCATGGAAATACCTATTGTAATTGTGAAAAATTTTGTATGTTGTATGACACGTACATATTGAAAAACCATAACACTCATTTTCGTCGCTCTGTCGTCTGCTTGTCCTATCTGTCGGTCTATCCGCTAGTCCGTCAACAAATTGAACCGCTCGGATTTTGATAAAATTTTTATTGGGCTAAGGAGGAAAAAGCTTTGTAGTTTTTGTAAATCAGTTCTGGGGCGGCTATTTATGACGGTAGTACATTTATAGGCTTTCAACCCTGGCAATTCTATGCATCTATTATTAGTACATATTTCACACATCATAGATTTCCTCGTACATCGAAATATTTTCAACAGACGTGTATCCTACACCTAATGGTATCAAATCTTATCTGAGCATGACCGCTTATAGATCACCGCCAGCGCTGACTTTTTGGCATGTGTGAGTGTGACTGCTGTGGTAATTTCAGTATCGTTGCCAGACGGTCGATACTTTCAGTAGGGCAGGGAAGACATTTCTCTCGTGACCTATTAGGTCGGGACTATGGACTAGTTGTATGAGCATGTTTGAGTGACTTGATCCATTTATTTATTTTTTTGTTATACATGTACGTAGCAAGCTTATTCTTTAAAAGGGCTAATTTGTGCGGGACATAATTCATTATGAACTGATGACAACATTGAGTGGGAAGTGCAGAGTCAACCTACTTTACGCCATTTTTTTGTTTATTTTGACTATGGTATAACATTGAAGCAAGTGGTATCTTGGTATCAGCTTATGCCTTTTTGTTTAGAGTTTGGCCTGTTATTCGCAAGACCCAAATGTTATCGGTGCCTTCAAGAGCGACAATGGATCAACAGCCAAAAAATATCCTAAATAAAATCAACAAAATATTACTATTTTTAATGTGCTAAAACCGGAATGAAACTTATTTTTTCAATATTAGTTCAAGTTTTAGAGATACGGTAATTATATGTGTTCCTGCTGTGACAGTGTTAATATACTGTAATTCACAAGAATGCACGTGCTACATTTTTATATTCGGCAAGGAAAGATGATGTAATCGGCATGATTGTGTTACGTTATACATACGTGTACATTATATTGTTTTATATTAGCCATTTTTTCCTCAGTTGGCTGACAGCGTTCATGCAAGATGTCTCGAAAGTGTGTAAACGATCCAGATCAGTTTTATTACGTGTGTGGTGATGTGACTTTTGCGTCTCAGAGACGGTCTATTACTCCACTAATAACAAAGGCATATCAGCTTTATTTCGGTTGTAAACTAGGTGATCAAGACAAACAGTGGGCACCCCACATCTGCTGTAATACATGTGCTTCAAGTCTGAGGAGCTGGTTAAATGGCAAAAAACGGTCTATGCGCTTTGCTGTCCCAATGGTTTGGAGAGAGCCTACAAATCATATTAATGATTGTTACTTTTGCATGGTACCTTGTGTTGGACAAGCCACAGGTATGTCCAAAAAAAAAATCGGTTATTAACTACCCAAACATACCATCTGCGATGAGACCTGTGCCTCACAGTGACGAAAATCCTATTCCAAAACCCCCAGAATCCTACACTTGCGAATCAGAAAACGAATCAGATCATGGCGATCGAGTGATTCGTCAGGAAGAAGATATGCCATCAACGTCAAGAGATCCTGATTTTATACCGAGCACGTCATGCCACCAACCGCACAAAATAACACAGTCAGAATTAAAATGTAAGGCAGAGTTACTTGGATCGAGACTGCAGCAGTGGAACTCGTTAGAAGACGATGTTTCGGTATGTGTTTTTCGTAAACGCCACAAAGACTTAGAACGATTTTTCAATAAGGAGAATAACTTGGTTTTCTGCAGTAACATTAACGGCTTACTGGCGGCTTTAAATATAAACTATAACCCAGAAGAATGGAGATTGTTTATAGACAGTTCAACATTGAGTTTAAAGGCAGTGTTATTGCATATTGGACATATTTTATCATCTCTTCCTGTAGGGTATGCAGTTCACATGAAAGAATCATATGACAATATGAAGTACCTATTGACAAGCATAAAATACGATGAGCACCAATGGCATATTTGTGGCGATTTGAAAGTTGTTGCACTTTTACTTGGGCTGCAGCTAGGCTACACAAAGTTTTGCTGTTTTTTGTGTGAATGGGACAGTCGGGCAAAGGCACTTTATTACACCAGACAAAACTGGCCTGTTCGTCAATTCCTAGAGCCAGGTCAAAAAAATTTACAGCATATGCCATTAGTAGATTCGAAAAAAATTTTATTACCACCACTGCATATCAAGTTGGGCCTAATGAAAAACTTTGTCAAGGCATTAGATAAAGATGGGTCAGCTTTTCAATACCTGCGTCAGAAATTTCCAAGACTAAGTGAGGCAAAGGTTAAAGAAGGTATTTTTGTTGGGCCACAGATTCGAAATATTTTGAAAGATACACAGTTTGAAAACACTTTAACAGGTATTGAAAAAACTGCTTGGAATGATTTCCGTCTGGTGGTCACTAATTTTTTGGGAAATAGAAAAGCTGACAACTATAACACCCTTGTCAAAAATGTGCTGTCATCGTATCAAAAGATGGGCTGTAATATGTCTCTTAAGATACATTTCCTACACTCACACCTGGACTTTTTTCCTGACAATTGCGGAGACGTAAGTGATGAGCACGGCGAACGTTTTCATCAGGATATTTCAACAATGGAAAAAAGGTACCAGGGAAAGTGGAATCCTTCCATGCTTGCAGACTACTGTTGGACTCTTGGTAGAGATGCTCCAGAAACGATCCATAAAAAAACAGCAAAAAAACAGCGCATATAGTGATTCTTATAAGTATATGAATCTTGTTACTTTTTTAATATATCCTTAAAAATAAAAAGTTTTTTTTCTAAACCGCAACTAATTTTTTTATTTCATTATCATTTTTGGATTCAGCGCCCCAAAATTAACAAAGAAGTGCATTTTTCCCACAAGATACAATTAAAAAATCAAAATTTGTTGCCCAGTGCTATTGGAGTAAGCATATGAAATATCTCAAACATATTTTGCATGCGAGTTCAACCCTGTATCACACGAAATCTTCCCAGAAGGTTCACTAGTCTGGTTAGTATCACTCAGCACGACGGCCCTTAAGTCTGTTTATGTTATACATTCCACTCCTCCTCTGGGCACTTGTTCACAGGATAAGCTTTCTTAAAAACGCAGGCGGGTGTCGCATCTCAGATCAAATAGTGCACGGACAGGTGAGCAATCACATCCTTCATTCTGCTGCACTGCATGGATTTATAACTATAATACTTTTATATTCATATATTTCCATTAATGGCTTACGGACTCAATAATTGCGCATAAGGAAATTAACTGGCTTATACGGGTGTGCCACCTCCATTCTCTGGGGGGTTGTTAAAAGAGTTTTGAAGTCCGACTGCTAGGTTCAAGTGTTAAGTTAATTACTGCTTGGTTTCCTCTATCAGTAGAAATATCGGAGCGCTTTAGATGTTGATACGGAGGCTTTTGACCGACGTAGCATCCTAGGTCTGAATGACCGCTTAACTGTCTTCTCTTGGCAATCGCTGGAGTCTGAATGTATCTCATCGCAGGACGTGTGTAGGGATTGTTACTCTAAAGATTGTGACCTTGCTCGATTACCTCTGATTAAGAGATAACGTCGGAGCCTTTGGATATTGACATAACGGCCATTGGCCAACGTGATATCCTGGATCCTGAACTGCTTTTCGTAACAATCATTAAACTCAGCATATCTGTCCATGCACCTGGGCATCAACATAGGCAGCTGTGTGCTTAAATCCTATTTTGAACACATATTCTGCTGTGTGCTTAAATCGCCTAAGTGAAGGACTGTGTATCCCAGAGGGACTGTGTGTTTCTAGAACTCTGTGCTCCAGGGGCTGTGTGCCCCCGCTCTTATTGTCTGCGGACAAGTATATGACAATTCACAAATAAATAATGATGAACTGGTACCACTGCGGATAATTAATAATAATTATAGTTAGTAGTATAGTAGTAATCCTAAGGTGGTAGAGTTGCGCATGTCATGAGTCGGTTGAATATGGGAGGTACTCAAATCATTTTTCTAAAAATAGGTGTTGGCCACAACAATTCGATCATTTCGCCCTTATCGCTTGCCAAATGAAGATAACTCGTTGTCGTTCCGTCAGCAAGTGAATGGCTTTAATATTATCCTGACATAGTTGCTCATGTAGAATTTTTAACGAACTGCCATTGTAGTAAAAATGACACGGTACAGGGTGGTACTTTGGAACCTTCTAAGGTAGCAGCGGTGGCCGCAGTGGTAGACGCTTCGTCTCCTGATCAGTCGCCGTGCGCTGCGAGGGTTCAAATCCGGTCCCAAGAGAAATCTTTCTCTTGTCTATATGGATGTTGTGATTTTCCGTAGGTAGTAGA